GGGCTCCCGGGATAGCGAGCCGGGATCTCGGGATAGCGAGCCGGGATCTCGGGATAGCGAGCCGGGATCTCGGGATAGCGAGCCGGGGGCTCCGGTGGGCGCGGGGAGAGGCAGCTGTGGGGCATGGCGAGGTCTGGGCTTTCCCCGCTGCAAAGTAATGCACGTCGGTGAAAGGGCCGAGCTGTGTATTATGGTATGTTACGATGTATTGAGGCTTTCGGCCGCTTCCAGGCGGSGAGGAATGGGAGATGCGGAGCCCTTGCCAGGGATGGAGGCACGGTGGGAATCGTGCCCCCGCAGACATCCCCGTTTCAGGCGCTGCCCTGCCTCTCGACTGCCCGCATCGCTGCGTCCTCCTGTCCCCTGCGAGCCTTTTTCATGGAGCAGACTTTGTCCCCGGTTTCTCCCGCACACTGAGAGCGGCCRGGCCCCCGTGCCCCCCGGTGCTGCCCCGGCAGAGTGCGGCCGGGAGCGGCTGCCAGCCCCACACCCGGGCGGCCAGCGCGGTGCGCAGCCGGACCGCCGCTCTCCCCCATCCCTCCCTCCTTCCTCTCCTCCCTCCCGCTGCCCGTCTCCTCGGCGGGGTTGGGGGCCGGGCGAGGCGGGACCACCCAGCTGGCCCCCGGCCGCCACGGCCCCGGCCCGCCGACCCTGCCCGGCCTCCCTCCGCCGCTTCCCCGCGCCTTACCCCCGCTGCCGCTCGCTCTCCTCTCGGCCTCTTCCCCAGACACTTCCTCCCCCAAACTGAGGTTTTCTCTTCGGAAAGAGGGTGCAGAAGTCTTCCGAGAGGCGGGGGAGAAAAAAAAAAAAAATAAGAACGAAAAAAAGAAAAGGAGGTGTGTGTCCGGGGAGGGGGGAGCTGAGTGAAATAGCAAAGAATTAACAGCCGCTGGCACTTTCAACAGCTTGGGCACGAAACCCTGCAAATCGGGATCTTCGTGGGCTGGAAAGTCCCCGGGCCGGAGCTCGGAGGTAGGCTGCACCGGGAGCGCGGCTCRTCCTCCCCGCCGCTCCCCGGCAGCCGCCCGTTTTACCTCGCTCTCTGCGCTCTGCCGCACCTGAGCACAGCCCGACCAAAGAGACTCCCTGTCCGGAACTCCCCGTCTCTGCTGTGCCTCGAGCTCTTTCAGGCCGCCAGCCCAAACCACGACYCTCACCACCCGCACCTCCAGCCTCTCCCCTTGGAAGCGCGGAGCCTTTCCTCTGTCCCCGCGTCTGAGGCCACGGACCTCTTCTGACATCCCARATTTCATCTSTTGACTGTTAAGCAGCCTTTAAAATACTCATACATGGCACCCTTSCTAGCMTCCTAGTTATCTTCTCGTAAGTGGATTTCTCGCAKCTTGCCTAGCTGCTTCTTGTTTACCTCCAGCTCTTAAAAATTCCCCTTTGGWTATTTTCTTAGTGTATTGTGACACAAAAAWTTTCGGTARCAAAGCGATGGCTTTCATGGGAAATGTCTAGGTAAAAGGTGAGTSTAAGCAAAGTGATTAAAACGGTCCGAATTTGTTCAGAAAGATAAAGCTAGTTCTCACTTAGTCACGGAAAGGTGCTCTCCAGTCTCGTGCTGTGTATGAAAGAGGGATTATTTATTTTATCGACTTATTTTTTGGATAAGAATTATGTTTGAAAACATTTAATTCRTGCCATTTAATTTAAGTCGTTGATAATAAATTATGGTCACTTCGTAGTCTACTGCAAAAAGACTCTTACGTCTGTGAGATCAAGTACGGAGATGTCGGTGGTGGCCATAAGCCTGTGGATGACACCCGGGCAATTTAGTCCATGGAACAAAACGGGTTTGCGGGTATCTTTTCTATATGCTTTAGCTCCGTCTGTTGCCGCGTTCTCGCAGCACCAAACACCCATGTCCGTGAAACGCAGAAGTTTCATTTCTCGTGTACCTGCTTGATACCCTTGCCGGCATTTTTATAAGCTCCGAGAATGCCAATAACATTTGAAAAAGAGAAAAGCGTGATACGTGTTTTGGCACCGAGTCGCATGTGTACAATTCACGCGCGTGCAATAATTTCCAAAAGCTTCTTGTGTATGGCCGTTTTCTTTTAGGGAAAGCATCGTTTAGGGAAAAGAGTTTAATCTGCGAGAAATTGCTTTCCTAATACGGGCTTTAAAAGCCCCATGGACAGAAGACCGTATTTAATATAAACCCGACCATGTTTTTAAACAAACGCAATAGTAAAAAGCGAGTTTTCCAAAACCGGCCGTGGCTGTTTTGCGTTTACCCCGACAGCGAAGGAAGGCCGGGGGCTTGGACGCTCACCCAGCCGCTCGCACAGCCCCGCACCGGCGAGGCTTCTCGGTCCCCGACAGACTCCAAATAAGCGAGTTCCGAGGCTCTTCCCCAGCATCACGCAGCAATGCGCGCCRGACTGCGGTGCTGGTCCCGTCCCTGCGACTTTTCCCGTCGGGACAGACCCTTTCCCCGGCGCCAAGCTKCAGGGCTCTGCTGAGGCGCGGCGAAGGAGGAAACGCCCGAAACACCTCTGAACTATGATCCCACACTCTCCAGGTGGAAGCCGCCACTTTCTGCCATGGAGAGGGACTGTCCATTCGAGGGTGTCCTCGGCCACGGGCGGCGGGAGCGCCCCGCGGGCCATGAGGGGTTAAGAGCGGCGCGCCCCGGCGCGCGCCCCGCGGAGCCGCATCGCCCCGCGGCGGGAGCCAATGGGCGGGCGGGGCGCGCGGGGGCTGCCCAATGGGAGGGCGCGGGGCCGGCGCTGTCAGCGGCCGTGAGGGATGGCAGCGCCGCCGGCAGAAAAAGCGGAGGGCGGGCGGGGGCGGGACAGAGCGGG